CGGACCCCCCTTCCTTCCTTTCCCTTCCCTCCCTGGGGAGAAGGGGAGCCCCAGACCCCGGTCGCGGTTGGAGCTCGCAGCCCCGCCGCAGCCCGCCCCGCGCCTCTCCTTCCACCGGGGCACGGAGCGCCCGCAGCCCTCAGCCCGCTTCCAAACGAGGACGACGCGCTCCTTGGGGCCGCCGGGCCCCCCTCCCTTCCCTTCCCCTCCCCTCCTCTCCCCTTCTCTTTTCTCCCCTCCTCTCCCCCCCTTCTATCCGTGCCGCTCCACCCCACCAGCATCCCGGCGTCCGCACCGGAGCCCACGGCCGCGAGAGGCGATGCGATGCAGGGCTTCGTCTCTGGACCAACGTCCATTGTCTCTTTTTATTTCCCTTTTTCATTTTTCCTCTCCCCCTTCTTCCATTCCTACCCTCCCCTCCCCATTTCCCCCCCTTCCTCCTCCTCCTCCCCCCCGCTCCGTTCCGCAGAATTGTTTTCCGGGATGCAAAACTCCAGGCGCCCGACCCGGACCCCGTAAGCACGCAGGTGGGAAGCCGGCAGCTCTGTGAGCAGTAAGGAACGCTCTCGTTTGGCTTCGGGTCTCATTTTTTCCTCTTCTTTTTTTTTTTTGGCTTCCCTCCCCCCCCCCCTCTTTTTTTTTTTTTCTTTTGACCACGGGGGTCGCAGGGCCGAGCAGCAGGAAGGCAGCAGCACGAAGCACACGGCCGCGGTGCCGCCGGCCTCAGGTGCACAAATCCCACCCCGTCCTCCTCCTCTTCCTCCTCTTCCTCCTCCGAGCGCGGGTTTTTAACACGAACTCAGTGCATCTCCTCAGTACCTCAACAGCTGTGGTGGCTGTGGGAGCTGTGAAGCCCCGCCACATTTCTCCGCTCCCCCTCCCCTTCCTTTTTTTTTTTTTTTTTTTAATTTTTAAATTTTTTAATTATTCTTAATGACCACCTCGGCGTTCTGCCAGCTCGGCTCCTGCGGCCGCGGAGCACAGCGGGGCCTCCCCACGCTCTCCTCTCTTATTAAATGGATTTTTCACTCTCTTTGGTCTTTTTTTTTTTTTTTTTGAAGCAATCTGCTCAGTCCCGCCCTGCAGAGCGGTGTTTTTTAAGCCACGCCGTACTCCTAACTTTGAACTGAATGGGAGCCCGCTGTTCATTCCAAAGTTCCAGCTGTTACTGTGTGACACCTCCCAGGCTCTCGCAGGACCGTCGTCGTCGCTCCGGTTCCGTCTCACACCACGCAACGCCCGCCCTCTCATTTCAGCTGCCTTCTTAATTTATTGTCTCCATCCCTCTCCCGGCCGCCCCGCTCCGTTTGCTCCGTATTTATTGGCAGAAGTGAGGCACGGCGGCGGCTCATCCCAGCAGGGCCGTCCCCAGCCGCCCTCCGTCGCCCCTTTTTAAGGGAATTTTTAACCAGGACTCTCTCGCGTTTTGCTGTTTTTAACTCTCCTCCATCACAAAAGGACTCGGTTTCGAAGCCCTCTGGGAGCAATAGCACCCTGCGTGTCGCCCGGCGCCGTACACTGTACTGTATTTCGTACTGTAAGGCAGCTGTCCCAGTGATGTCCTGCTGTATTGCTGTGTGTGTCCGAGCAGCGCCGCGTCCCCTCGCTTCGGTGCTGATGGACTTTCTGTTGCTGGGAGCCACTCCGGTTCTTGCTCCGACGTGGGCGGTACCTCTCCTTTTGAAGAGGGTTATATATATATATATATATATATATAAAAATATATATATTCTTTTTGGGTTTTTTTCCTCCTTTTTTTTTCTTTTTTTTTTGGCTGAGGTCGCCTTACCTTTCTGACTCCGCTTAGGAACCACGTGGAAAAGGAAAGAGGCAAACATCGCGTAGGCCAAAAAAAAGACAAAAAAAAAAAAAAAAAAAGCCAAACAAACAAACAAACAAACAAAAAAACACCCAACATCTATCCCACCCAGCGCCACGGATGGCTCCAGCCACCAGGATCCTCGCTCTGAGAGATGTATCTATGTACAGAATCCTCCCACGGCTCCATTTGACCTTCCAGCACACGGGTGAGAAGAGCAGAGCGCGTCGGGGGAAGAAATCTCGCAGCAACGAAGAGAGAAACAAACGGATCGGTGCGGCGTTATCAACACAGAGAGGCTGAGCGAGGCCTGGCTGCACCCTGCGAGGAGGAGAGGGGCTGTGGTGGTGCTCCGTGATGGCAGCCGGCTCCCCAAAGCCTGCAGGCAGAGCCGGGCTTCGCGCGGCGGCGGTTCGGTTGTTCCTTCTGTGTCTGTATACACACGGCCCTGTATGTGTGTATAGATATGAGGTGGTTGTTTTGCTTGGTTGGTTTTTGGTTTTTTTGGTTTTTGGTTTTGTTTTGTTTTTTTTTTTTTCAATGGCTTGGATTCTGTAGGAGACGGGCAAAAGGCTTTTATCCGGAAGGGGAACGCCGGGTTGGTGGAGCTTCCAGATTTCTGTCGCCCCAGAAGGGACGTTTTGAGAGCGCGACTCTATCAAAGCATCTGCTGTACAAACGGAAATGTAAATCTTGTATAGCGCCCCAAAACTCCGTGTAAATAAAGAGCCCAGACGGCCGCCCGCGTGGATCAGCCCAAGAATCAAATCCCAAGGCTCCGTCAAAATCAAAACTGCTTGGATTTCCCCGCTCCCTCCCAAGAGAAAACGGAAACGCTGCGTTTTACTCCCGGCCGCCGCGGGGTGACGGGCGCAGGAGTCGGCTGCAGTGATCCCCTCATATTGAGTGGTCCATCGGTGAGGGCGACCCGCCGCTCCCCGGCGCCGTTCCGAGGCACTTCGCTCCCCCAGCTGCTCCGCTCTGCACTGAGGGGCAGCTTCTCTTCGCCTCGCCGGCTTCTCTTTTAAAATAGAAGATTAAAAAAGAAAAAAAAATTTAAAAAAAGTAAAAAAAGAAGAAGAAGAACCGTGAAGCGATTGGTGATGGTACGTGGGGCGGCGACCGTCTCTCAGCAGATATTTGCCACGGATTGAGAAGATCGCCGTTGGAATCGTGGCTCAGCTCCGTGCCGGGAGGTTTTGGGGATGGCTGCGTGTCCCTCCTGGGGCTGAGAGCTGCTGGGTGTGGTGCTGTTGGCTCTGAGCGTGGCACATTCCAGGCCTGCTGTGTAGGAAGGCGCTCACCCCGTCCTGCAGCACGGAGAGCAGCTTGGAGCTCGGGTGGAAGGAGGCGATGGACGCTCCTGGAGGCCGACGAGATGGCGGAGCACGCGGTTGTCCAGGGCAGGAGGAGGAGCCGGGGCTGCTGGATGGCGAAACACCAAGAAGGGCCGGGCCCAGCTCTGCAATATCTGCTGAGAGACCAAAAAGAAACACGTCGTTCAACACCCCCACAACTCCCCACCACTCTCACCCAATCCCCCCACCCCCCCGAGTACCTTGATGAAAGA